CTGGCTTAAAAAAATGAAATCAAACAACACTCACCTTGTCTTCTTCTCAATATCATCGATAGCTACTTGAATTGGTTGCAATACCTTCTGCTCACGTTCAACAACTTTGATACGCGTTTTCACGTAGGGAAAACTGAAAAAGAGCTTAGCCGTAGTAGTAGCGAAATTTAGAAAAAAAACTGAAGATTTGAAAAAAATGACTATAAAGGATTTTCTGACCTATGCTGCGTGGATAGTATAGTTCGCCGCTTGTATTGATCTTTCAGATCACCATGTGCTTTTCCATCACGAGTAAAAGGCGTTGCGTATACGAACCTGGATGAAGGAACATTAAGATACTTGTACAATATGTGAACAACTTAAAAGTAAAAACCCTAAAACTTACCTCTTTATTTTGTGGCTGCGCTCAAAATGCGTTAATCGCCTCCTTCTCTCCCATTTGTCGAAGTATGGCTCGACGTAAGTGATTTGGAGATACGCTTTCGTGGATTGAAGCGAACTTCTCACCACCTAAGTATAAGTCGGGATGTAAAACCGATAAAAAGTAGAAGAATACGGAAATGAAGAACAGAAAGGGAACAGATATGAATAGGCTGTTTACATTATTTGAGTCCTTGATCACTTCCACGACATCTTTACCAAAGCGCTCCGTGTAGAAAGATTCGAGCCGATGACTTATCTCAGAAAGCTTCGTGAATGGACCTTCCTGAGATGAGAAAACATTTATAAATGGATGACTTGAGTAAGTACCACAGGTATGACCTAACCTTATAGACGTACTCTTCCCCATCCAAATCACCAAACCTTGCGCCGTAGAAGCCTACGCGGAAGTATGTGCCAAAGCATCGCTTATCAGCACTAGATACAGTAATTTGCAAAGCGTACAGTAGTGAGTAAGTTTTTTTTTAAAAAATAATCTCACCTCGCTAGCGGTGACAACCACACATCAGCTGCATCCTCCGTGATCGAGACTGTTGGCTCAATTCGGCCAAGAGCTTCGCTAAGTCGAGCGTATATTGCTCCCAACCGCCGATAATCACGCCACTCGCGCACAATCGGTTCGACTATCTTAAAGTGTGGTATTACAATTAATAAAACAGCAAAAAAATATACAACCATAAGCCACGCTTCGGCAATAATGAGATCTATTGTTATTGTCAGATCATTTACCTAATTATCTAGAGTTTATTAGAAATTTTGCCCACAAGTGAATATGTCACAGCAAGCATAAACACGATATAAACAAGAGGACTGAGCCCTTTGATATGTACTTTTGGGCTACCTATGAAAGAAATCTTCTCGCAGAAAGAAAGAGAAGTCCTATAGCTCACAGTTAGGGTTCAGTAAGAATTGTATATTGACAATCCCTTAGATGGACTGTAGGGACTCTC